TTAATTCACAAAGTATCATTAGGATAGTTCTGCCTTCCTTCTCCACTTTCCGTGAGCTGTGGGGAGACAGATATTCTGCTGTGGCTCTTCCTGCACCGAGATCCTGAAATGGAGTTGGGGCTCCTGTCTCTCCCCAGACCACCGTCCCACTGGCGGCCTGCTCCCCACCCTGCTGCATCTCCAGCTTCCTGAAGCTGGGAGGTGCATGAGGCTAAAACGGAGTCTTCTGTTTCTTTCCTTGGCCTCTTCTTTGTGAAGATTAAGGCAGAAGATTATGTCCCTTTCGTTGGTCATTTATCCGTAGCAAGATTGTCACCATTTTTCCACTTTTTTTTTTTTTTTTTTTTTTTGGTGAGGAAGATTGGCCCTGAGCTAACATCCGTTGCCAATCTTCCTCTTTTTGCTTGAGGAATATTGTTGCTGGGCTAACGTCTGTGCCAATCTTCCTCTGTTTTGTATGTGGGATGCCCCCACAGCATGGCTTGATGAGCAGTGTGTAGGTATGTACCTGGGACTGAACCTGCAAATCCCAGGCCGCCAAAGCAGAACACACGAACTTAACCGCTACACCACTGGGCCAGCCCATTCTCCACTATTTTGGGTACATGTTCTGTGATTATCACTATTTGTGATTAATTTATTTAAAACATTATCCTTCCACTGCATCTGCTTTAAAATTTAAGTACCTTTTGTTCTGATACCATTTGGCTGAGGAATCTTTTACAAGTCGCTTCATGTCTTTGGGCTTTAGCATCTCCTATAAAATCACAGTATTGGTCCAGACGGGTGCCCTTGCAGCTCTGACGCTGCTGACTATAGATAGTTTAGAGGTTTTTTTTGTCTTTTCACTTCAGCATCAGTTTGCTAATTTTCACCTAGAAAAGATGCAAATGGCTAAGAAATAGATGTAGAACCTGGAATTCCCCAGAGATAGCAGGCCTGGTCACAAGACACCAAGTGGCCCCTGGGGAGGGCTGGGTCTGCGAGATTGGCTCACTTGGGGTGATGGCCCAGCATGGGGTACTGTCTGTAAGGAACCAAAGACCAAGTTTTCTTGCTCCAGAACGGTTGGCCGGGGAGGGCCCTGCTGACAAAATTGATTCCTGGGTGCATGGATGGAGTACGTGGACTAAGATATTTATTATCATTATTATTCCATTCTGATTATTATAATCATCTTAACTAATCCTGAAAATTATTTATGTTTATAAAAAAATACAAATTTAATAAAACCTTTTTCATAAAGGTCAGCAGACAAGGACTCAGTAGGAGCGTGAATGGAGGACAGGTATGCCCGGAAGCCAGAATAAGGGAAGCAAGTGCAGCTCATGGAACAGCCAGCTCTGAACTTCAAGCAGGGGAGGGGAAGGGGGAAACGGGCTGGCTTACTGCAGCCTCAGTAGTTCCTGACAAGAAGGCTGTTGGTTGGCTGAGACAAGCTTGTTCCTAGCACTGGACCCTGAGGGCCTTTACTGAAGAGGCAGTAGACGGTCAATGAGTGACATTCCTAGGACCTACAAGAAATCATGAAGCTGAGCTCGGGGGGTGTGGCCGTGCAGCCCGCGGGAGCCTGGCCTGGGCCGTGGCCCCATGGTCCTTCATGGCGTCAGATGGCTTTTTGCTCTAGCAGCCTCTTTCTTCCTTGTTGGCATTGTCGTCCTGGTCCGTGAGGGCACCTCACAGGCTCCACGTGCCGCTTCCTTGCCCATGGATGTCCCCGCAGACTCTCTCACTGGGATCCGTCACCGGCGGCCCACAGCGGAAGGGCCGGAGGAGTGCGTGAAACGTGCCTCCTGTTATGTTTGCCCTCTTTGCCCGGCAGGGTGTCGGCTTAAACCCCCTCCCCCTCCTCCGTCCCGGCTCCTTCTCTCTCCCCCTCCCCCTCCCCTCCTTCCCTTCCCTTCCCCCTCCCCTGCCCTTCCTGCTTTCCCCCTCCCCCCTCCCCTCCCCCCCGCCCCCTCTCCCCCACCCCGCTCCCTCTCCCCTCTGCCCCTTCCCCTCCTCTCCCCCTCACCCCCTCCCACTCTCCTCCCCAACCCCAACAGCCCCTCCCCACAGCCAGTCTGCGTGTGTCTGCTGCTTGCTGTGCACCCTGCAGCTTTGTGGCGGAGCCCCCGACAGTGAGGGCTAAGCCATGAGCTTCCGTGTGTGCAGCCCTGGTCGTGCAGCGGCCGCCTGGGGTGGACAGAGCGGGCTGGTCACTGGGGAGCCTGGACGGTCAAGTGCCTCTCTCCACGGCGGCCTTGCACCGGTTAGGAACAGAACTCAAGGGCCAGGACGTGCTGTCAGCCTCTTGGGAAATAAAATATTGGCATAGAAGTGACTATGATACATGTTTTCTGACTGAAAATATATCTTAGTCTCTGTCTCTGTGTTACAATATGCTGGAGGAGAAGGAACTGTCGTTTTCCAGAGAAAAGTGTGCTGAAGAGACAAGCTCTTTGTGAAATAGAGTCAGATGTTCAGGCTTCCAGGTTAAGCTGGAATAATGACCAAGTCGCATTGCGGAGCTAATGCCAAGTAGCCGTGAAGAGCTTCCCCAAAGGGTCGTTGAAGCTGGAGTTCCCTGAGACTCGTTCCAGAGGTTTCGCTGCTACCACGGCCGTCAGAGAGGTGCGCTGTGAGGACAGCTGAGTCGGCTCCCGGGGCCCAGGCAGCGTGTGTCCGCTACAAATAATGACAGGAAACACAGGGATCTCTGTGTACAGTCGCCCACGCACACTGTTTCTCACACGCATCTTTCCAGGGAGTGGAGTCGAGTGAGAACTGTTTTGAAAAATACGAAAGTTACAAGCTCAGACAGACGGACAGCTGTGCTGCTCCTGTCGCAGCGCTCTGGTACTGCGGCATGGACAGCTTCACGTGCGGGGTGCACGCGGGGCTCCTAAGGGCAGAAATGTCTGATTCGCTTTTTAAGCTCCCTGGTAGAGTATCTGGCACATGGTGTGTTCTTTGTTTGGTTGATTATTGTTTGTAGAGTGGAGGAAGGAAGGGATGAGTGAATAAATGGAGGGAACCCTGGAGGTGGAGCTCAGAGCCAATTCTGCTTTGCCTTTTCGGGAAGCCTCTACTGGTGAGTGAAGAATGAAGGTCCACGCATCTCTGTTTTCTTCTCGAAGACAAGAAGTGCTTTGAATGGATTTTAAAATGCCAGCAAAGATGTTACTAGGAAAACGAGAGTGCTTTTCATTCTGGCCCAGCAGGCGGCCTCTCCTGATTCTGGGATGGATTTTTTCCCATTGCACGCGCAATTGCAAAGCACAGTTTTTGGGCACTTGGCACTGTGTCTCTGCTTTTCTTCCCCACTAGCAGGAAGTTAAAGCATTTGCTGGCAGATTTGCAAAAGGGACCTTTGTGTACAGAGAATTGTGGTGTTGGTAGGTGCTGACTCAGTCTGCGGGGCAGGGGCTGTGAGGGGCTCTCAGTTCTGAAGCGTGTTGTCCCACCCTGGGCCTCTGTTCCTGGTTCCTCGTCTGCCTCTCAGAGCTCCACCATCAGTCTCATTCCACAGGAGAGACAGAATTCTCAGAACCACGCCTGTGACCAGGTGAGCCCTGAGTGCCTCTTGCCCAGGGTCAGTATAATTTTCCCTGATGTTTCTTCCCTCTCGAATTCGCTTCCTCCCCTCTGTCTTGTTAAACCCTGTCCATCCTTCAAGGCCCCTGCCATTTCCAGCCCACAGGATTTGCTGTACCTCCTGAATTTTTGTCAGTGCCACAAGGTGTCATTATTTAATTTGTGCTCATTTTATTTCTCAGGTAAGGTTTTTGAGAGCAGGAACCATGTCTTCTATTTCTTTAGATTTCTCCCCGAACTCTAGCTAAGCAGTCACTCCTTTTCATGTCATTATAAAAAACATTAAATAAATTGGCTTCTGCAATTAGAGCTCAGGGATTTCTGGAAAGCTGTGATGTGGATTGTTGTTTGGAGGCTAAGGAAAGTAGCCAACAGAGAGACAAAAGGAGTAAAATGGAAGGGCATGCAAAATATCAAAATATCATAGAATGTTATCCCACCGGTAGAATCTTCCCATTAACTTGCTTCCAGAAAACTGTTAAAATTATGTACACACACATACATATATATACATGTACACATAAACACACATTTACATGTACACATATATTTACGCATGTACACATGTACCTTCACATACACATATCTGTGCATACATTGACTCATGTGTTACAGTGTGCGTATGAAGTAAACCCTCAGCAGAGCGTCTTACTAGATTGGCTAAGTGTCAGCATTGAGAGAACAAGAGGGCAAAGAACAGATGAGCGTTGGTCGGGAAGCAGGGCTAGATCCATCCAGAGCCTGAGGCCTGGCCCCGGGAGGGCTGTGGGGACCCCGGAGCATGAGGTGCCAGGTGCCTGGGCCGATGGGAGTGACAGCGAGGAGAAATGGGAGAGTGGGGTGGTGGCTGTGTCTGTGCCAGAAGGTGAACTATAGCCAGTGTGCTTCTGCCTTGTCGTTCCCTCCAACAGTCATGACACTGGGTGTCACCAAGGGTTTCTAGAGTCCTAAATGGGAGGGTGTTTGCTCATCAGTCTTGAAGACCATCTGTGTTTGGCACACACAAGAAAAGTCACGGGCAGGATCCTGGTCTCAGCCTCCCTGGGCTTTGGCTTTCTCATCTGTAAAGTGGAGTGTGTGTCTCCTGTGCTTCGTAGACTTCGTGTGGCAAAGAAGGTAAGGACTCAGTGCCCTTTCCACGACACCGATGTCCTGAGGGGCCAGGCTTGTGCGGAGAGGACTAGTGGCCTCTCTCACCTGAGTTTTCATTTACCAGATCTGCCCGTTGAAATTTCATTGTTTTCTTGGTAAGATAAACACAAATACAGGTAATTGTGATGGCCAGCCAGAAGCTCCCATCTCTGCTCGTCTGGCAGTTCATTTAGTTCACGTCAAGACCCATTTGGACTTTACAGTATAGGTATTTGTTTGGGCCTTGCCTGTTATTGCGAAAACAGGACCAACATACGTATGTTTTGTTCTAGGGAGATGTGCATCCAACAGGATGGGAGAGTTCATCTCACCGTTGTTTACTTTGGGAAAGAAGAAATGAATGAAGTCAAAGGAATACTTGAAAACACTTCCAAGTAAGTGCGCCCTGGAACCAGCATGAGTCCCGCCAACTGAGCTGGGGAGCATCCTCCGAGGCTGACGCTTCTGCTGTAGTTTCATTTTCCTGGTGCTGTGGCTGTGAGCGACCTGGGAGATTGATTGGTTGCTGGCCTTGTGTAGGGGGAGTTCTGTGCCCTCCTTCCCCAGAGACCACCAGCCTGACACCGGTCCTCACGGGCCAGGGGCTGACTTTGACGTTGGGATAAACTGCTCTGAGCAGCAGGCTGGGGGCTTCTGCACGACTGGATGTCGTCACTCGGAGCACTGAGGGTCTGGGGACTTGACATGGCAGAGTGGTGGTCGGGGAGCACAGCTGTGCAGTGCGCTCCATCTCAGCCGCAGCTTGTAAGGCTGAGTGGTGTTCCTGCTCTGCTCTCCTCTGCTCAGCACAGTCTCACCCTTTTGACTTTCATTCGTTATGTATTTTGAGAGATTAGAGGGAAGCCAGAAGTGATGGCTGGAGCAGGGTCCTTGATTAAACCTACTCAGGTGAACAGAAATTATTCAACCAAAAACTTTAGACTTAGAGCTGTATATTTTCACCTCATTGATCAGTTGCATGGGGTAAAAATGTACTTAAAAAGCAGCAAAGATGGATTATTTTCCCCTACCAAATAAATAAATAAGTATTTATTTAATAAGTAAATATCGGTGGCCTTTTCTACTAGTGAGGAATCCGGAAAGGCACTGCCACACTCCCCTCTGGTTTGCAGGGCTCCAAATGAGTGCCCAGGTGGCTCGTTTCCCCATCAGTGAAGGAGGAGGCTGGTCAGGGGTACTCACGGCAGAAATCGTCTGAATAGGTCCATATGGTCTTCATGTAGACAGGGCCCTCTGTTTTGAGCTTCTGGTAAGTGGTAATTGGATGATAGTCAATCAAAGGACAAGATTCCAAGATTGAGTGTACTTTTTGTGTTTATTTTCATGCTTTGTTACTAATTTTGTATCAATGAACACAAGATCAGAATGCTAATTACAGTTATTCAAACATTCTGAAGCAGTCCACTGGCCAAATTTTATCCAATGCTTGTTTTTTTAAAAAAAGTTTTGTTGGAATATAGGCACACTCATTTGCTTACGTATTATTTGTGGCTGCTTTCCTGCTGCAGCTGCAGGGTTGAGTAGTTGGGACAGAGACTAAATAACTTGTAAAGCCTAAACTTTTTACTCTCTGGTCCTTTATAGGAAAAGTTTTTTTGCTGACTTCTGCTCTAAAGCAATAAGGAGTTAAGAGTTTAATACTAGTAACTGCTTAAAGCTATGGCCCCTGTAGAAGGGAGATCAAAGAGAATAAAATAATTGAATATCCTATATGTAAGTGAAACAGAAATCTCTTGACTCCAATGTTTTGCAGTATCCCTTTCATCTCTGCTTAGGAATGGGGAGCATGAATTATTAGAATTCATGTCCTCTGCCCGGTGGATAGGTTTTAATATCTCTGGAAGTATGCGTCCCTGGGCCTGGATCCTTTTAAAGTTTCCAAGATGATTCTAACTTGTAACATGCAGCCAGGATTGAGAGCCATTGTCTGAGAAAGTGGCCGTCCACCTGAGGGGCTGCCCATCAAGAGGACTTGATTGCAGCCAGCTGCCCCATTCTGAGGTTTTTTTTTAATGGTTGTGATTTTTTTTTTTTCAGGGAAACAGTCACCCTGAGCTAACATCTGTTGCCAATCTTCCTCTTTTTATGTTTTTCCTCCTCAAAGCCCCATGGCATAGTTTTATATCTTAGTTATAAGTCATTCTAGTTCTTCTATGTGAGTTGCCACCACAGCATGGCAACTGACAGAAGGGTGCTGTGGTTCTGAGACCAGGAAGCGAGCCTGGGCCACCGAAGTGATGAGCGCCAAGCTTTAACCACTAGGCCATCAGGGCTGGCTCCCAAGGTATTTTTAAGTAGCTGTCTAAGTGACTCTGAAGTGCTGCCAGGATTGAGAATCTCAGTCCTGTTGGGTCTGGCACCTTCTGAGCACGTTGAAGAAGAACCAGACATGTGCTGGTATATACATATAACCAAATTCACACGAGTCTGGTGGATAATTGGAGGGCCAGTTTAAACATTATTATAGGAAATACCTTTTCTAGTGACTTGAATGCTTAAGGACCTTTATTATCAAGGCAGTCTTCTCCATGTCAAATTACCTGGCAAGCTGAATTCTCATCAGACGGTTGCTTGGTGAGCAAAGAATGAATAGAATCTGAATAAGAAAAGTAAAATCATTTGAGTGGTAGGGATGGTTTACTTAAAATTTTGGAAAATTTCCAGAGATTAGTCTGCTCATAACTGAGAACTGCGTGCTAGAGACCGAGTCCATCAGTGCTTTAAAGCAGTGCTGCGGAAACTCTGGCAAAATTCAATTGGACCCCATTTTTCTGTGTTGATGTCGTCATTTTGTTAACTGGTGGCATCTGCAGGGTTGATGTCACTGGTGCATTGGGCATGTCCTACCCCGTCCATGGTGTTGCTTTGGTCACACCACCTCTGCCAGGAATGCCACCCTCTGCTGCTTGCCTGAGTTGATTTCACATGGCCTTACCGCCAGCCCCTTCGGGATGATCTTCCTAATCACGTGTTGCCCAGCCTGGTACTCAGAAGGGCTCTTACTTCTAACCTTGTCTTGACAACTTACTGCCCCAGCCAAACTGGGGGCATAGTTTGCCCCTTTGTCTTCTCTCCTATTTTTCTTTTCTGCTTGGCATTCCCTCCTTCCTCCTTTCTGCTTACGCAAACCCCACACCCTTCCATCCCCAGCTGACCTCCAGTCCTCCCCTCTCTGAACTCTGACTGTACTCTCTTTCAGCATCTCTTATATCTGGCACTTGCCTTATGACTTGGCTATTTACCTTTCTTTCTAGCATCCTAACTAGATTCTAAGCTGCTTACTAAGCGGTGCCATATACATGCCTCTTTGTAACTCTAGCTCATAGCGTAGGGCCTGACTCAGAACATGTGTGGTGTTTGTTCTTCAAGAGAAGGATGACGCCAGGTATAGAGGAGATCCATACACATAATAATCTATATGAACACTTATATGAGAAGCTTTATCTAAGTATCATTTTTATCATTCTTTTAAGATGGTAAAACTTTTATTGAAACATCTTATCTTTGATTAGTAATAGTAACCATTATTATTTACATGAATTATCTTATGTAATATTCACAGCAACATTATCAGAGAGATGCTGTTATTAGCCCCATTTTATATATGAAGAAACTGAGGCTTAGAGAGGTTGTTACTCAGGCTGCCATCCCTGACACGTGGGAGAGCCAGGACCCAAACCTCCTCTGTTAACTTCCAGGACTCCCGGTCTTAACGTTGCACCAAATTTTCACTCCTATGTACTAATTACTAATTGAAAGTAATAAGATTTGAAGTCAATCTGAATAAAATTTATTTATTTGGATATCAGTATCATGATTAAACTGTTCTAAATCTAGCTAAATGAATATATTTTAAGAATATCTTTTAAAAATCTAGTTTAATGACTAGTGTGCAATGTTTTTCTCTCTCTCTAGGTTTATACCTACTCAATCAAACTTCACATTTCAGTCCATTGCTGTAGGTCAGCGTTTTGCAAACTGCGGTTTGTGATTCATTAGAGGGTTGTGAAATAGATGTAGTGGGTTATGTCCAGTGTTTTTAAAAAATTGAAATACAATTGGATAGAAAATATCAGAGTGCATCACAAGTAGTAAGCATAAGTATTGTTTCATGAAACTGTAATTTGTGTGTGTGTGTGTGTGTGTGTGTGTACTGTGTCGTGAGGTATAATATATTCCTCTGTAAGGACTGTGGACAGAATATTCAAAAGCCACTGCTGTGGATGACAACACAAAGCCGTTCTCAATATCTGACTCTTACTCCTCAGTTTTCCCTGTTAAGCTTCGGTTAATCTCAGATTAAAGCCTAGCTCAGTGGTTCTCAAATATGAATGTGCTCTGGAATAGCCTGGGTGCTTTTTAAAATGCAGATTCCTGGGATCCAGTCCCGGAAAGTCTGTCAGTAGACCTGAGATGAAGCTTGGGAACCAACGCTTAGAATGAGTTCCACGTATGATGCTGACATGGGTGGTCCGTGGCCCACAGTTTGAGAAATGTTGGCCTAGGTAGATGTTTGCTTGTATTGTATTGCTGTGTATTAAAAAGTTTTTAAAAATTGTAACTGGTGGATGAATTGGCATGAGTTGACATCCAGAACATTGCAACTTCATCTTTGTCCTGTCACGAGGCCACAAAGGCATCTTTCAGAGGAATTATCTCTGAGATCGAAGTGCTAGAAATGAGACACTGCCCTGCCATTGCAGGTGTGTGACATGAGAGGTTGTGTGTGTGTTGTCAAGGATCTGCCTTCCGCGATCTGCCTTGCACGTCAGCATCTCATGCCTCTGTGAAGAGGTTGGTTTGACACCTGCCATCAGGCAGATTTTATCAGGACATCCCAGAAGAAAATTTAGGGGAAGAGTTTTGTTTTGTTTCTGAAATTTGAGCAGAATTATTGCTTTGTTTTAACTTTTTCTTAAACAAAGAATTTTGAGATAATCTCATCTTCTAAAGTGAAAGAATCAACGCAGTGAATCCCTCCTGAGCAGGTAAGGGGTCTGGGACCCTGAAGCCCCTCACCGATTAGGCCGCGTCTCTGACCGGTGGCCCTCTCACCCAGCCTTTGCCAGAGAAGGGCCGAGTGTGATTCCGCTGGTGTACCAGCTCTTTCAGAGATGTGCCTGTATTTTTAGGCATTCTAAATTGTTCCTTGGGGCATTCAAACATGGCATATAGATTATAGTATTGTGACAATGTTAAATTTCCTGAGTGTGAGCATAAATTTTTACAATGTTATAAAGGAGAATGTCCTGGTTCTTGGGAGATTCTTATCTTTGAGGCTAAAGTTGTCATGATGTCTGCAACTAACTCTCAAATGGTTCAGAGGAAGGAAGGAAGGAAGGAAGACAGGCCCGGTGTTAACACTTGGTGAATT